TTCTTTCTGCCTCTTTAGGTCACCTGCTGACTGATGGCCCGTCCAGTTTCTATTGTGTTTTATCTCCGACAGCAGCCTGGACTGTCATTTTTGGTATATTTGTGGTATATTCCTCACATCTGTGCAGGTGTGTCAGGTGAAGTCTGTTGAACATCAGTCCTTAGCAAAATCTCATACACATGCACACAAATGCACACAAATGCACACACACACACGTACACACACACACTCAGAGAGAGAGAGTGAGGGAGAGAGTAAATCAAATGATTCATATACTTGCAGTGGAATTCTCCCCAGAATTTTCTAGAAGCCGTTTCCACTGCCATTTCCCACAATGCAAGAGTGACTGTGGGCACACGCTCTCCGGGTGAGTGACAGCAATGCCACTGGAGCAGCCCCTGCAGCCCAGACCCCCTGGCGTTTATCTCTTAAGAGCATAATTACTGTGTTGTTAAACTGCAGCCAAAGTGTCGCAGAGTTCATTTAACCTGCGATAGCGGCCCGTATTGCGGCCATTCGTCCCAGTTAAGGGCGCCCAACGGCGGGGCCTCCGTCTTATTTATGGACAATCCTTATCAATTAGAGCCGCTCCGGTTTCGGAAGCACCTACAGCCTGTCACCTCCCGTTTGCACGCAGGAGCTGCAGCTGCTGAGCCCCTCCATAGCAGCCCGCTAGGCACCGGCGTCACTGGCGGAGCGTGGCCGCTGGCCTCTGTCCAAATGGAAGAATTACACATCGGTAAATGGCTTATTATTCATCCGTTGTTGATGTTAAACAAGCCGCAGAAATAGTTTCGGCCGACGCTTCGCAGAAACACGCTTACGGAGTCGCCGAGGAATTCCTGGCCATTTTTCAGACATGCCAAAGTGAGAGCCCAGCAGTAAAGCCCAGCGGGACATGAAAGAGTGGCTGATAGAGGGAGGGAAAGGACGAGAGGAGGGAGAATGTTCGGTGTTCGGTTTCATGTTATTTCTTAAGGTCAGATCTGCACGAGAAACAAACAGGGGGAGAACGTAGCATCTATTTCATTCCGTGCCACAACACGCGACACCCTGCACTAATTTACCTGGTGTGTGTGTATGCATGCGTGTGTGTGTGTATGCATGCGTGTGTGTGTGTGTGTGTGTGTGTGTGTGTGTCTGTGTGTGTGTGCATGCACTAATTTCCATTCAAGCATCTTGTCATCATATGTGCTTTATTTTATCTATTTTTAGATGAGAATAGGGAAAGAATTAACAATAACAAAGCCCAAAATGTTTTAAAACAACTGATTTAGATCTGATGTCTGGATCTTATATTCAACAGACATTGATATAGTTTATTTGACAGAGCGTACTGTACACACAAAAAACTTGGTATGTCAGGAAAGAAATACTCCAGCTGGTATAGTTCACATTGAAATACAGCTCCAGAAATTTGGATGAAGTTTCACCTGTGGTATCCAGAACAGAGAGGTGTATCCGCCGAGCATTCCGTACCAGCTTCTGCCGTGAGCGGCGTCTCCCCTCAGTTCTTTATTTGCTCGGCCTCTCAGCAGAGTTTTTATAATCATACAATTACAGTGCAGTGTCCACTTTTATGTACATCGCCTTCATTTTCATGTTACTTCAATAATTTCTGCGGTTTGATTTGATCTTTGAAATGTTAAAATAAAAAGCTATATTTTTAAAGCTCTGGTTAACCCCTTACTTAGTATATTACACATTATGTTCCTATCATTATATTGCTCATACATGCAAAGCTCTGCCTTTGAAGAGACATTATGATTATGGACAGCAAACAAAAGAGGCTGAATTATAATTAATTGCTCTAATTTATTACTGCAAGCATTTATGAAAGTATGAATCTTTGTTTATGTGTCCTATTAAAATATATTCCCTGTGTGAACAGTTCCCCATCTCAGCCTTCCTGTGTAGTGTGATTTTTTTTCTTTTAAATTGACTATTCTGCCTTTTAACAATTTTAATGTGGTGCATTTAATGTTGCTTCATTTGAGCAGGTTTAATTTCCTGCCCGTTGCTCAGTCGCCTGTCTGAGTTTTGAGACTTTAAACCCAGTGTGGCTTACAGGGAAAGGGAAAGGCAAGCACTTACAGCGAGCGACCGGCACCCCGAACACCGCGCAAAGCGATGAGGTGAAACCGAACGCCGCAGCGTGAGAACCATACATGTAACAGAGGCTGTCTGCGGCGTCCGGACTCAGGATGGCAAATCCGGATTCATTACCGCCGGCAGAGGCGGACAAAGAGCAGACCTGCCCGTTCCTCCCGTTTTTCATCTCCACAAGGGCGAGCGGTGTTTACCAACGGCTTCTCGGCCTTGAACAACACAGGCCTGTGCTTGCACGGCAGAACAGGGAAACGGGGAGAACTTTAAAATAGCAGTCTTCAAGAGGCTCAACGGGGAGGGGGGGGGTGTCTCTTTTGTTTCTGTTTTTCTAAAAAGGAAAAACGCAAACAAAAACAAGAAATTAAAAAAAAGGGAAGAGCCCGGGTTCGAATCTCTGTCTGTAACGAAGCGAGGAGAGAAAGAAGGAAAAAAAAAACAGCGCAGCTGTTCTAATCTGGCTCGTAGCTGTCCGTTTCTCAGATTGATAGAGAAACAATCCCAGGCTTTGGGTTCACGGAGAGGTTAGCTTTCCCAGGTACCTCCTGTTCTCCTCCTGCTCCCCCCACCTTCCTTCCTCTGCCTCGCAAATGAGAATCTGATTTTTCTCTCAATTGGACTCCATTCCTGGAGATTAATGAAATTTCGATGCAAGGCCCAGGTGCCCCCGCAGCTTTGTTAGGAAAACGAATGGGGATTCTATAGGCGTGACAGCCCGCGCACAGACAGTGAAGAAGGTGTATACATCCCCACAGCCAAAAAGGGACTGTAACCACATTGATTTTTTTCGTCCTTTTTTTAAAGCTTGCACATTGAAGGGATAGGGGAGGGGAGGGGCTGGCAGAAACAATTGGATTTTTTCTTGATTGGAAGTGATTGATCATTGGAAATTCTTCAGTTCTGAGCTCCCCAACACACACACACACACACACACACGCACACACACACACACGCATATACACGCTTCCCATTCGCTAGTCTTTTTCTTCCAGGGTTGCTGTTAAAGACACAGTAGCGCCGAAATCCTACGTGTTTCTTTTCAGCGAATCTGCCTGAAAAGGTGAGAATCGGGGCGAGGGCGCATGACGCCGGCCACGAACAACCCACCCATCACGCCCTGGTGTGACAGATTTCTCAATCCGTCCCCGTTGACGTGCTGCGATTTGCTCCGCGGAGATGAAAAATCCGGCGCAGCCTCTGCGTGGCGAGAACAGTTGGCAGGCGCCGCGATGCATCACCACAGAGCTGCATGTTTAATTGCGCCGCAGAAATGCCTGCTTACTTTAAACAATTAAAACACTGGCAGAGCCAGACTCCCCGGACGCGCTGGCGGTCGAGGCTCCCTCCAAGTCGAGTGTCGCGCCGCTCCGGGGTGCTTGTCGTTGTTTCTGTGGCACCCCTAAAGCATGCACCTTAGTTTTAGACAGGCTGGTGTGTAAGAAAGAACCAACGAGTAGGGGAAGAGGGAGTCTCATGACCGATCGTTTCTGGGAGAGCAAAATTCAGCATATTGTGTTTCTTAATATGTAAATGTTTACTAAACATTCGAACGACAGCGTTTAGCCCTTGCGGTCGGACCCAGGATCGTAATTTATGGCTGCGGAGAGACTTCTGGAAGCCTGGCTTCATAACAGAATTCCCTCATTGTTTCAGTCCCCAGTTATGCTAGTTATGGCGTTTAGCAAATAGTCTGGGATGAATTATGTCAACGCTTGTTTATGTAAAACAGGCGTTTAAGTGACAGCAAAAGCAGTGGCCCTGAAGAATTTTAACAATGGGCCCTGTGAAAGTCAGCCTCAACAGCTCCTCTCTCATACTGGCCTGGAGATATGTGGCCTGCAAGAGGGCTAATATTAGCTGCTTAAAATATGAATCTGTGCATAGTGTTTAATGAACTTCCTCTTAGTCAAATGAGAGGCTCGTAATGCCAAACAACAGCAACAACACTTCTTTTGGTTTTACTTGATGGCTGTAGTCTTCATTTCTGGCCTCCACAGTGAGCCCTGAAGCAGTGTTGAAAATTGCTGTGAGGACTAGTTTTCTTTCATCCCAAGGCTTAGACATACAGTATAAAGGGAACTGCAACATGGATCAATGGAAGTGTGTTCCTTTTCCATATTGCGTTGTAAATTAGAATGATTGCTTGAATTAGTCGACTCCTCTCCTTGAATGAAACACCCACACCAAAGCAAACAGATAAATATACACACGTTTCCACACACATACACACACACACACACAGAGGTATTGATGCACATTACTGTACTTTTCAAGCATCAACAATAACACCCAAACACGCACGCACACGTACACACACGCCTCACAAAGCTCAGACAAGCAGTAAACAATGCCAGCTTCCATACAGCTTGCAAGACATCAGGGACTGGTCATAATTGCCTTAATTAGTCTTTTATAGAGCAATTACAGGGGGAAAAATATGTCATAGACTGCCTATGTCCACAGCACGAAGGGTTTTTCTCCGAGCGGGAGCAACCCCACTTTCTTCTTCACAAGACCCAGAGGAGCTTCACAGATCTGGGCAGTGCTCCTGCTGTCTGCATTAGAACCAGGCACAGTCCCTGCCTGACTCACAGGTCAACTGAAACCATTTGGAAACCAGTATCGGAAACTCAAATGATACGTTACAGTCTGAGTAAATATATATATCTGAGTAAATATCTATAACAAGCTTCCGGATCCTTGCCGTGCTTTCTGCGTGTGTGGAATGTCTGTTCTTCCTTGCTGAAGTGCTGGGGGTATTTACATTACATGCTTAGGAGATGCCCTCATCCAGAGCCACGTACATGCAGCAGCTAACCAGTTTTACATGTTATCGCACACAGCTGGATGTTCACAGAGGCAATTTTTGTTAAGCACCTTGCCTAAGGGTGCAACAGCAGTGGCCACCTGGGAATTGAACCAGCAACCTTAGGGTTACTTGCCCTACTCCTTATCACTACGCCACATTGCTATTTAGTGTTTCAACATTAAATCAATTGGTGCGTCAATATGTGAACATGTTATTTATTTATTTATTGTTCTTGAAAAAGTTTTCACTTTCTTTGTTAAGTCTAGCAAGATTACAGTCTAATAACCGCTATCTAGGCGCTGCTTTATAGAATCCGTATCCACTTCCATGTACAAAATTATTCATTTAATTAAATTTCAGATACATAGAAAATAGAATTGTTTACAATGCAACAATGTATCAAGTCAATATCAATATGAAAAAATATTTTAAAAATCATATTGCTAAATGGATATCTTTAGTTTTAATTTTGAGCATCATAATTATGTTGTATCCATGCTTTTTTGGTTTCTGTTTTTTCTTTTATTGTTATAAATGATCTGTAGGCTGTTTCTCCTTGAAACATTTCTATTCATTTCTATTCATTCCCACATAGTGATATAAAAATAATAATCTAATTTATATAGTTTCATTTACCTGTTTTTGTTGTTTCTTGTTACGTGCAAAAAATGATCCATATATACATTATATAAATAGGATTGAATTATACACATGTATATATGTGCACACAGACATACATGCAAACACAAAGGGTGAAGCAAACTATACACTGAACATTATCATGCCATATGTAGTTGTAAGATTTCATACTACTCTCCTCACTGTAGCTATGTGTTTGCCTGTATGTGTGGTTGTGTGTTTGCACATGCATATTTGTGCACAATTTCTTTTAGTACATAATATTACCTTCAGTACACAATATTACCTTCTCTTTTTGGTAATATATGCTTTTGTTGAAAATGTCATTCTATTTAAAATTATTATACATCCAAAGTTGTCCAGGAGCATAACAGCATTTTGAAATGTTGACTGTACATATTGTAGACTGTGTTGTATGCTGCAAATACTTCAAACTTAAGTAAAGATATTATAAAATATTATATACAACACAAATACCGCAAACCATAGAAGTTCTCATGCAGAAATTAGTCAACTGAACATGCAGATGTGATTTGTAATCATAGCGGCCTTTGAGATGCCCCCTAAGTTACAGAAGCATAGGAACTATAGGAACATTCTGTGATTTAGGACTTTAGGACCTTTCTGTTGGGTCCATGTGCCCGATCGACCAACGCACAATGTCATGGCTGACCTTTGCCCTGTGAACTCAGGATGGGAGGGCACTGCGGAGAAGGCCTCAACTTGGCCTTGTGAGAGAGGCCGGGCTGGACACGTCAGGGCCGGGCAGGGTAGCTCGGTCAGGGCAGGACAGGGTAGCTTCGGTCGTGTCTCCCCCCTGGTCGACATTCTCCTGCCAGCGGGCAGGGTTCACGCCCGGCGTGCTACCAGGAATCTCCGGGCGGCCGCGGGACTCCTCCCGCAGAGGAAGGATACTGAGGCTGCTGAGCTTGGGGGTGCGCGCCAGGGCAGCCAGCCGCACTGGCCAGAGAGGAACAATAACAATCGACTGTCAGCCCGGTGAAGTATTATCCACCAACAGGAAGTGGAGCTTGCGAGGGCGCACCCCGCCGATCTCCTGACGTCCGCAGGACAGACAGCGGCGCCCGGAGTGCCGCGCTGGGCAGCCTGGTCACTCAACCTCCACACAGGGTGTGTGTGTGTGTGTGTGTGTGTCTGTCTGTCTGTATGTCTGTCTGTGTTTCTGTGTTTCTGTGTGTGTGTGTGTGTGTGTCTGTCTGTATGTCTGTCTGTGTTTTTCAGTGTGTGTGTGTGTGTGTGTGTGTGTGTGTGCGCGAGTGTGTGTGTGTGTGTGTGCGCGTGTGTGTGTGTGCGTGTGTGTGTGCGTGTGTGTGCGTGCGTGTGTGAATATGTGAGAGTGTTCCTTATACATCATCATTGTTACAGAGTAAACACAATGGCTTGCTAATTCCTCAGTTTATTTTTTTGCTGTAATGCCAATTCCTTGCATGTATTTTCTCATAATGGACACAGATGATTAGGTTCCCATAACCATAGTACAGCAAATATAAAGTGTAATTCATGAACAAGCACCGTGACTTGAATTAGTCCAGGGCTCACAGAAGTGTATGAGAATCTTGTGGAAAACCACCTTTGGAGTCAATTTTTCCTTTTTCATTTTTATTCATATTTTGATGCTCACATACAGTATGCAACCAAGTATGTACCAAGTACCAAGACGACGACCGTTCTCTTTGCAGATGATGACACATCCCAAAAAGACTTGTCCAAAGTAATCTTTTGCCCTGCTAAGCCCGGGCAAGCCCGTGCTAGCCTGCGACAGGCCAAGTCAGCACAGGTTTAGGTGTATACTGGTGTTTTAAGATTTATTGCCGTATCAAGGATTCAATCATGGCTCTGAATGTTCTTGACTTGCGCCTCCACTGCTGCTCTGGCTGTGGTTTCTGAAATGGTCTGAGATCCTGCTAATGTTAGCTGAGCATTCTAAAGACCTGTAAAATCCTCCACAATACCATAATACATACTCTGCAGCCTAGTCAAGTGATATTGGGTTTTTGATATTTGGCATTAAGATGTTATTGTACATTATATACAACATAACTGGCTAATATTGTGCATTTTTATCACACTTTTGCGAACAAAATAGTGCCCACAAAACAGACAATCCCACTTGGTCAACCAAAAAACAAAAGCATGATTAGCTAACCAGCTAACATCTTGTTAACAGATAGTTGTCAAAAAAGCCTATTATCTGGTAATAGCAGGGACTGGTATTCTGCGGTGGTATGGGACAGTATTTGTTTACATATACTTCCTGCTTCATGCTGAACCATTGTGAGACACAATTCTTCAAGACATTCTTGAACAGAATTCATAAATAACTGACACCGGTCAGGACACCTTAACCCGGTCATGCCAACATGTAAGGCGCAAAACAAAGCGAAGCTTTTTTTGAGCGCGGTTGTTGAACGCGGGTTGTGCGGTGCGGACAGGGCCTCGGTGAGGGACCCGCGCGGGGTGTGTTTGGCTGACCCGGCTATGCACTGCCGATGCCCCACTTGTTCAAACATGGCTCCAATAGACAGCCACTGAACCAGATGATTAGCACCATGACGGTCGGGATAAAGAGCACGCCGGAGAGGCAGAGGGACAGAGGTGAAGCGCTGGTCACGGTACCGTGGGGTGAGAATCGGCACAGGGGGGCTGAGGCTCCACTCATTTTTCAGGCTGTCACAACAGCCAGCCGGCTAGCCGCGACCTAGCAGTGCCTATCTGGCTAAGTGCGTGCACACAGGAACGCGAGCACAGACACACACACACACACACACACACACACACACACACACACACACGCTACAGTTTGTCAGCCCTGGCTTTACAGACACTTCCTCTCCTTTCTTACTGTATTTATTTTCACATAAAATAAATGAGGACTAAAATTCCGTACTTGAGCCCCACGTCTGATATGCAGGGCCAGCTCATACATGTTTGCCCTCAACAATTTAAAGAAGTATCTTAGGAATGGGTGGTAAAGACTTGATTTTTGTTTACTTTCTTGTCAAATATATTTCCTACATTTTGAATTGCTTATGAAATATTGAGCCTTTTCTAAATTTTTAATAGACCTTATTTTTAAAATATGACATGAAATTTCACTTTAATCCAATGCCATCATATATTTTAAAGAAATATTTAAGATGTTTAACACTCTCTACCCCTGTGAATTACACTTGATCACACTGCATAATCTATTTGAAAAAACATTTTCATACTTACTTATATGTTCAGACAAACATTTAATCTGTCATTTTTGGACAATAATTATGATAAACAAGAGCAGGATCTGGCTGAATGGTTTAAGAAATTCAGTTTCAATTAGTATAACATACTACAAGTATTTAATACTATTTGATTTACTAGATTTAAGATTTTTCTTTTATTTTTTTTTATTAATGTCAGGTTTAGTCAATTGAAACAGAAAAAGTGTGAAGTAAATAATAAAGTAAACACTAAATAGTAAAAAATAAATAATAAATAAAAGTGTCCACATTTTTGTTGTATAATATATTTGCTAAAATTATCAATGCAACCTGACATGGATTCAAAACAACAAATATGACAATTCCAGATCTGCATTACAAATTAAAATAAAAATGATTTTTATTTATTTACTTTTTTAGCCATTTACTACTAGCATACTATCAGTTTATAATTTACTTATACTTATAAAATAGCTCCTACATTAATTAACAGGTATATATTTATCAGCAGTTTTGACTGTTTAAATCGGCCCTTACAATAATGTGTGATTTTCTTTTTCTTTTCATTTCTTTTCATTTTCTTTTGAAAAAGCCGCTGGATTTCAAATTAATTACATTCCCTGGTAATGAATTGCTCATATCCAGTTTTGTTCTCACAATAAGCAAGAAAACATACACTCCCAATTCCACAAATTTAAGCAGCATATTTTAGTGCAAATGCTTGCGGGACATATTTTGAGAAAATTAATATTTTTAATACTAACAGAATGATGTAAATACTTTCCCTACTGTCAAATAAAAATAGATTTGCTTTCAGTACAAAAATACCTGCAGTATATTTTACCTGTGGCTGAAAAGGACACTTCATTCAATGCTTTCAAAATATTTGTCTAGAAGAAAGCCAGCTTAATTGTTGTCTCATATTTCATTAAAGCTATTTGACACAGGGAACATCCATGGGACAAGTATTGCTGATACTGCACATTTAACACTTTTATTGATGTAAGGTGTCTTTAGACGTGGAGGGACTTCAATAAGGGAAACACTGCTCCCTCTAATTGTCCTCTTCTGGTACGATGGCAAACTGCAGAGCAAAAAGTAAATTCACACTTCACGCAGCAATATGAATACAAACTGTGTGTGTGTGTGCTTGCATGTGTGTGTGTTTGTATGTGTGTGTGTGTGTGTGTGTGTGTGTGTGTGCGCTTGCACGTGTGTGGGCACCTCACGCTTCTCTCTCTTCTCACTCCAGTGGGAGAGGCAGTTTTAAATAGGTAATTTGGGACATTAAAAATCTGTCCA